TAAAATTTCATGTCCTGGCCTTCTGAAGACCGCCTCAGCCACCTTAAATTCCCCTGTCCAGGATGGATATATGTCTCGGACAAAATTTTTCGCTGGCCAGCTCCCTTGCAATTCCATCTTAGAGACAGGTTCAACTATACGGCAAACACTGATAAAAAGCTTTTGAAAACAAAAAGTCACAATGACATTGATAGAGTTTGGAAGCCTCTATTTTTAGCTGTATATTATACATAGCGAAAGAAATTTTAAAAACTATGTATTTCATCATGACAATTTTGCTATGCAACAAAAAGGCTTCCAGACCGTCTAACATACGTACGCAATACTCCTGGACTACTATTTTTCAGAAAGTTGATCAATTACTAAGGTCTAGTAAGTAAACTGTGTGTACCAATTTAGTTAGCAGGAGGAATTCTGTAAAAAACGACCGCTATGAAATAGATCATGGAGGGTAAGGGTTAAAAGGCTAGATCTAGATCAAGGCTAGGGCCGTTAGGGTCAGAATTTGGGTTAAAGCTAGAGGGATAGAAGGTTGGGGTGGGTTAGAGTTGGTATTCGGTCTCTTCTTCATTTGTGTTTGGGTAAATTTTTACTTTCACTCCCGCACACAGATGCCTGTTTCAGGGGTCAAACTGCTGTACTGTTTGCTGCAGATCACACATAAAGCCACTAAAACTGTCGCAAATCAATTATTTTCAAGACAATTTCAAATCTAACTCTGTAAAATATCAAATTATGGGTGTAAAAACATGCCCCCCTACAACCCCCCAGATTTTCTTTTACCCCAGTGGGGCAGGCCCCCCTGGAACCTCCCAATTGGTCCAAAGCATGTCTATCAGTTAAAAACAATCAAATATAAAATTTCAAAAACTATTAATTTGCGACGGAAATGAAGTTGATATTCGTGTTCAGCGCATCAATATTTAGTAGAAAATAGACAACTGGTAGCTGAGTGTGAGACGGGAGGGAAAGTAAAAAAATACCTGTGTTTGTTGTGGCGCTTCAAGTTTTAGTAGTAGAGTTTTACAGCACTTGCAAAACAATAAGGTCATTACAAGAGCCGAAGATTAGAGGTGTTACAACAGAGTAAATTCTAAAAAACACAAAAAAGAAGAAGACATAAAGACGATAAGTTGGGAAAGAAGGACCCTGAGCAAACCACACAGAGCGACAGAGCGTCCGCCACGCCAATGTTGTGGCGCTCCTTCCCAATTACAATTAGATCTACATACATGATATAGACATTTTGTAATGGCAACTGCCACTAAATCAGACCAGATCTTGATAATAGCAAGACTAAGAGGCCTAGATCTACATTATAACACCCCTATGATGCGTTTTTAATCTTTCCAGTCAGTCTCCAACTCCATCCAGTCTGTTGAAATTGACAGGCTGATTCCATTCTGTAATCTCTGCTTGCCTCGAGGCAGTGGTTCGTGTTACAATCTCTGCTCAAGTTGCAACAGCCTTTACAGAGAACTCTTAGAACTAGAATAAAACACAGCAGGAAAAGGAGATGACAAGTTTACATTCATTGAATGAATGGGCGGGGACTGTCTGTGCAGCGTTGCATACACTGGAATGTCGGGGGCAGGTGGGTGAGAAACGCAACGCCAAAACTATCTACAGATTATGGACAAGACACTTAGATCTACTTACCTTCCTGAACACGTTCTCTTGGTTCATGTTTGTATCCAAAATAATCGTCTGTGACATATTTACGTCTGATTTAAAACTGTAGACAATGAACACGAAACCACACAATCAATATCCATATCATGACTTCAGGACGATGTAAGGAGGCTGTAGCTACGCCTTTTGCGCTCTCGTTTGCCTGTGACCAGACCTCTCCCTCTCCCTGGTTCTCGGGTTCGACCGACACTCCCCTGCTGTGTTGTTATCGCAAGGGTGAACAAGGCCTAGCCTATGGGGTGGAACGTCACAATAAGGTTAGGAAGGGAGCATTCATTGTTTCGTGTTTTCGTTTTCGCTCTTGTGCGAAATCACGTTAGCTAATGTAATGGACATGCACTTGTAATAATTTAATTACTACGTTAACCTCTCTTCATACCACAACCTCCACCCTTCTCGGGCAAGGAGACGTGAGTAACACATATATGAAAGAGAGAGAGAGACAGACAGACAGACAGACAGACAGACAGACAGACAGACAGACAGAGAAAGAGAAAGAGAGAAAAGGGGAGAAAGTGAGAGGGAGAGGGAGTAGTGAGAGAGAGAGAGGGGGGGGAGGTAACATCCCAATGATTAATGAAGTCCTGAAAGAAACTCGAAAGTAAATGTTCTTCCAAGGCCAGTAGATCTACTAGCTTTAGCCTATTAATTTTGTTTTCTGATATCGTTATTGATGGAAATGGATGACGATATTTTACACACGCACACACACACACGCACACACACACACGCGCGCACATGCGCGGGCCCGCTATAATATTAATAAACTTAAATACTCACTAATCCTGACTTAAGCTTAAATGAAGTTACGTTCGATCTCCAACTCTTTTTTTAAAAGTGTGTGTAAGCCGATTCAGCCACTCCCCTGTGTGCCTCCAGAGAGTGGTATATAAAACTAATTAGGCCTACCCTTCGAGAACTACTGTAATAATTAACTCCGGTTTTTGGTACCAGATCCTAAAGGCGATATCAAAATACGAGACGCGTCCAATTTAAGTCCAATCCCAAATATGAAGAAATTGTCGGAAAAAGATGGAAGAATGTCCTATCATTCTAGAATTTGGGGGAAATCCAATGAGTGGTGAAAACTAAAGCATTTTAGTAGGCCTAAACGTCGTGGTTCTTGTGAATACCCAAAGATAACGCATCCGTCTACAGAACAATGTTCCAGCGCATTAATGTGTGACGGCAACTCGGTAACCCCATTGTGATTAGAAAATCTCCCATTTATACCCTAATCACCGGATACAGCACCCACTGGCTTTTTACCTTTTCCCAAATTTAACAAAAAGTTATTAGATAGCAGTATTTCCCATAGTGACATACGTAGAGGCTATCATGTCTGCTGCAGAGAAGGAATGATTTGAATCCCACTCGAGGTCCCAAGTAGCCTAATTTTGAAAGTCAAACAAAGATGATATCGTAAGGTGTCGATTTGCAGAGTGTCTATACGTAGAAAAGTGTCATTATCGGATTTCAACATTTCAACTTTTTTTTAAAATATTCATAGTTAGAGTTAAGACTAGCCCTTTTTGCACATGAACACCCAATGCCTCACCCACAAAGAGAAATGCAGCTTTCAGTTTTCCTATTTCTCGGAATACTTCTTCGGAGATCCCTTTCCAACATCTCCCAAGATAGCCCCTTAGTTAAAATAAAACAAAACAAAACAAAACAACCGAATAGTGTGTGCTTTCGCTTTCCCCCCAACACTGAAGGCGGAATGCATTTTCAGCAGGACATGGTCATTAAAAATATGCGGATTTTGAGTTTTGAGGCCCCGGATGGTATCCAGAATGAAATACATCTAGGCTAGGTTAAGTTTGTACACCATTGAGAATACTGGACTTACCCTGTGGGTGGCAAAAGTAGACCGCCTGATTAGTATCTCTCAAAATATGATATTTAATTATTTTTATCGATACGACCCGCCTCTTTTTCATATTTTCCAAACGGACTATAAAAGTACCCGAACAAGCCGTTCCAATTACGTTTGGGGCAAACCTGCTATGCTGTAACGTCTACCAATGTTTTCCTTTTTTATAACTGAGTTTGCTAGGATTGTGAATTAGAATTCTGCAGATTTCTTTTATGATCTCTCTCCCTCTCTCTCTCTCTCTCTCTCTCTCTCTCTCTCTCTCTCTCTCTCTCTCTCGCTCTCTCTCTCTCTCTCTCTCTCTCTCTCTCTCTCTCTCTATTTGTAATAATTGTAGCAGCAGTGGCATAGTTGGACGGAAAGTGAGAGCAGAGCAGCAGCAGCAGCAGAGGAAGCAAAGGTAACGACATCGACAAAGGTTCGAGCAAGGGGTCTAACTAAAAGAAAAAATATGAGCCATCTCTGTTTTTAATTATGTCCCATGCTTTTGTCACTTTCGACCATATAAACCACAACTCTGTATCACCGTTTTCGACCGTTCGCCCTCAAAGGTGACCCGAGGGAGTCGCACGTCGGGCGCTAAACTAAACAATTTCGTAACGAAATATGTGATTTTATGAGCACCGCGTAGCTCGTTGGCTAGCAAGATATAACTAAGCTGTTCGTAGTTTGCACCGGGGTCATAGAGGGAGGGGCTAAATAAATTGTATTGCTAAACGTGTCAATATACAAGATACTGAAAAAAAATATTTACCGACAAAAAATACCCCCAGACCAAGGCCAGATTTTTCGTCGGTAATATCCAACAATGACCCCGCCTCAAAGCAAAGGCGAGCGGCAAAGCAAGGCAGTTGCGTCACGCCAGGTGTGATTTTCTGAGTAATCTGAGCGCGGTGTTTCTTGTTGGCTGGAAAGAAAAATGATCTTTAACTTTAAGCTCCATTTACCCGTGTCGTTGTGGGAGGGGCGAAAGAAATTGTATTGTTAGGTGTGTCACCAAACTAGCAAAAATAGCTATTAAGTCTTAGTTTTCTATTTGTAGTTTGCACACGGGTCGTAGGGTGAGGAGCCAAAGAAACCGTATTGTTATACGGGGATCAGGCTTTCTCTGCTCTCTTCTCTAGCTTCAACAACACAAAGTCTCATTCGACTATCAAGGCACCCCGTAAATAGCAGTTCACAAGAAAGTGACAAACAAAGAAAAATAGTAGATGGAAAAAATGACGATAATAGGATGAGGAAATAAAAAGAAGCAGTTCCCCCTACGTTGTTCCGGCACAGTATGAGCATGACATTGATAATTCATCCCATTTATAATTCTACTGTTCATAAGGACATGTTAATATCCCGCCTTTGGGAATGGCCTGTAAGTAGCACTGCCCTGGGTTTTTTTTTGTGGGGGGGGGGGGGGGGGGGGG